TCTTTGCATATTGAATTACTTTTCCTGCTTTCAAAATTCTTTGTATAGAGTTTGACTTAAAATGTGCTTCAACTCTGGATCTCCTTGAATTTCTATTAGTGAGAATTTCTTGAACTCGCTAATAGGAATTTGTGTCTTTCTTCATATTTGGTATATTTTTCAGATTTCTTCAAATATTCTTTTTTCTCCTKCTGGAACTCATGCAATATGTATATTGGTATGTGTGATGGTCTAATGGACCCATCTCTTACTTACAGTCTAATATAATTAGAAAAGTGAACAGTATCACTTCAACTCACCTAATTTCAAGTTTGTTCTTTTCTCCATCTGTTCTGCTGCTGAACCTTTTATAGTAACTTTTTCTATTTTATACTGAATTTTTTATTATTGTTAATTCTACTATTTTGGTTGTTAATAAGTTACTAATTATTGTAATCATCAACATTAGAATTTCTACTTGACACCTTTTTATAATTTTATTGGTATATTTTAATTTGATCCGACATTCTCCCTACTTGCTTTAGCTCGWAGTTCATAGTTTCCTATAACTTTAATACTAAAGACCTTGTCTAATAAGTTCAATATAATATCTCACAGGGTTTCTSTTAAGTTTTTATTTATGAATGAGCTATACTTTGTCACTTTGTGTATATATCTTATGCATTGTTTTTAATAAACTGGATATTATTAATATTATGACACCTGTGAATCGGAATCTGCTCTCAAGTTTTGTCACTGTTGCATGTTGTGGAGTGGAACTGTTTGCTTAGTGACTTTTATATTTTTTAAATTTTATTTAAAAATATATATATTTAGTTGTAGATGAACACAGAATATCTTTATGTGGTGCTGAGGATTGAACCCAGTGCCTCACACAAGTGAGGCAAGCGCTTTACCACTGAGCTACAGCCCCAGCCCGCTGACTTTTAAAAACTAATTTTGTAAAAATGATTTTTTATGTCTGTCCAGTGGAGTTTCTACTTCATTAGCTTAGTAGTTGTCTAGTGGTTTCACATTTGACAGAGCTTTCCTTAAAATGTGTGCAAACAAAAAAAAAAAATGAAAGATATTCTCCCAATCTTTGCAGAATGACTGTATAGTGCATTCTTTCAATATGTACCCAGCAATGCTGATTTAGACTTCACCTCCTACTTGGGCGAGTTGTCAGAGCAGCAAGAGGTCAAAGTTCAGCATCTTCTCAGGGTTTTGCCTTAGCAAAACACCCTGCCCTGGCAATCTATATGGTGCTCTAGAGTCCCTGGCATATGTGGGAACATTGAGAGAGATTATTCTCCAAAGTATTTCATTCTGTAGCTTTTCCTCCCAGCCTTTCAACTGTCTATTGTTTGTCCCAACACAATCTTTTGCCCCAAGCAACAGTGGTTTATTCATTTACCTTTCAATACTTTTAAGAATTATTTCTCACTACAGCCCCCCCCCCTTTTTTTCCCTGCAGACTTGTTTCTTAGTCTAGCCACAGACTCATTTGTTAGTCTAGTAATTTGCCCTTGTATCATCTCTGTCTTGGGAACAAGACCAATTCTGCTTCCTAAAGAAATAGAAACCTATACCAGAAATGCTGGACACCATGTTGAAAGAAGTGACTGACTGGGGAGGAAAAAGGAGGTAGAGTAAGATAAAACCCATTAAGATAAACTACTGCCTCTCAGTTACCCTAGAACTTGATTTAAACATTTGCTTGGATGCTATAAACCTCTGTTTTTACAGACTTGTAATAAAATTGATAGTTTTTTTGGCCAGTGTTTCCATGGAGGAGCGTGTCCCTTCCTGACAATGTAATTTTTACTGATATGCTTAATTTTTACTGATATGCTTAATTTTTAATTTTTAATATACTCACATCTAAGTGATTGTGACATGATTTTCCTATTACACTCTGAATGTGAAATACTTTAAAAATTTTTTTAAATGACAGTGGAATGCATTACAATTCTTCTTACACTTATACAGCACAATTTTCCATATCTCTGGTTGTATATAAAGTATGTCTTCAGACATGTACTTTCGATAATGATGTCTATCAAATTCCACCATCTTTGCTAATCTCCTGCCCCTTCCCTTTACCTCCCTCCCCTCTGCCCCATCTAGAATTCATCTATCCCTCCCATGGCTTTTTAAAAACACTATGTAACTACTTATATTCTCATCATATAAATGTTTATACACATGATATAAATGTATGTATTCTCAATATATAAATATATGTAAGGAATATGGAAAAACTAATAACAGATCTTTATGAATTATGAGAAATTTGTAACTTTTGGAGGCATACTTATAACATTTTTAAGTATGACTAGCAATAACACTCACCCTTTTCCATACTATCAGAAAAAATCACTAGTTACATGATTAGTCTGATGCAGTACAAATTTTCCTGGTGTATGAAAATTAACCATGTTTCAATATTTAAAACGTTATAAGCTGTGTGAACTCTGCAGTACATTAAGGCTCCTAAAATCCTTTCAAATATTTTGTCCCTAATTCTTTAGATGATGTGTTTGCYCATTATAGACCTTCCTAAAACACCATATGTTAATGTCACTGATATAAAAATAATGTCACGGGCTGGGGTTGTGGCTCAGTGGTGGAGTGCTCGCCTAGCACGCGTGAGGCACTGGGTTYGAGCCTCAGCACCACGTTAAAAAAAAAGGATATTGTGTGTCCACCTACAACTAAAATATAATTATTTTTTTAAAAAATAACATGATGCCTTATTAAGAATAACTATTCTCTTTAAGTACCCTTAGGAAGGTTCTTGTAATAGAAAAGGAACACTTGTCAAGCTATGTGGTTAAAGCAAGATCTAATTTCCCCAAATTGCCATGCCCACTGAATTGTAATTGACAAGGAATATTCTTTATACGTAAAAGAAAATTATGGTAAGCGTGAAACACTATTGGGCTTACTCATGCAAATATCTAATGCAAAGAACCGTATGCCAAACAAAATGCAACAAGTTATTCATCATATGTTATTAAATGAAACTCCTTTGGATGAAATTTTGTATTAGGATTTTTTTTATTCAGGCAGAAAAGTGTGTGTTTTTTAAAAATTCTAACTGGAGTTGGATAAATATATAATCRATTTTATGAGTTTAATACAATGAATCTGCCTGTAAAGTGATACTGCAGGATGTAACGTACCAGATACAAATAAATTCTAATTGTCCAGCAAAGGTAATGAACATATTAGGTATGTGATTTTGCACATACAGCATTCTGTAAGCACACTATATATTGAGTCACTCTTGGCAGTTTTGCTTACAGCACTTACTAGAAATGATTTGTTGAGACAGTTTATTTCCCTCTAGAGAAATATCACCAATGCAACAATTATCTATAGTGAAGCTAAACTATGCACTTTAGAAAGAATTTTTTATTGATGAAATTACTTCTAATGTTCATAGGCAATTATAAAATAGAAGGTGGAAAACTTATATGGGATTAGGAAGTATTTCTTACCTTGGTCATAGGGTCTGTCTGAGAATGATCTGATTGGTCATGATTTAAAACAAAAAAAGCTATGTAGAGAAATTAATGTGCTTTGTCAATATCATCATTTAATCAAATGCATGCTAACTAGAAGATAATTTTGAGATTTAAGGGGACCAACTAAAGTAAAAAATTTGGTCTCAAACTCTGTCTGAAGTCCCAAGTGAACTTTTAGGACCATAAAAATATTAAGTGGCTTAAAATTATAAGCAGTTAAGAATTACAAGTCAGTTACTACCTAGGGATAAGCTTGAAACAAATAATTATTCTCATATATACTTTTCCATAAGTACCATTTCCATAATTTCCATGAATTTATTATTATCAATCYGTGATTAGGAACTAGGGAAATTAGTGTTTTTAATAATAAACTTGGGGAATATATGATGAGGTTAATATAGTTCTGAATTATTTTCACTAAATATTATGTTTTGAAAAGATACCTTTCACCCTGCTAGCACACATATTGCCCTGGGATATGGCTTGATGAACATGCATCAGTAGATTTTTATATCCCCCATTCTTCCCTGAAATTCACAGGTACAAAAGAAGTAAACTCAGTGGAACATACCCAATTCCTATCTGAGATTATATAGCTAGAACTTCCAATAGACAAAATGCTCTGTGGTTAATTATTCAGCTCTTAATGAAAATTAATCAGTTTTGACTTACTGAATAAAGAATTATTTTCCTATATCTATCTTTGAGTTGCACTACAGAGTAAGAAGTAGAGGTTTGAGAGTTTGAAAATCCTAATTATGAGTTCAACGTTTTATTTTTGGCTTTCTGCTTCCATTATTCCTATAACTCTGACAAAATTTGCATTCCTGTCTAAATTTCAAGGTTGTTGTGAAGAACAGATATCATAATGTATGTGAATGTACTTTATAAACTAAACCAGGATACAAACACAATATTACATTCCTGTGTTTGGTTTTCAAAAAAGCTTCATTGTGTTATTCACTCATACCAGAAAACTAACCTTTCATAAGGATTTAGGGCATGGGGCTTTGATGAAAGTTGCTTCCATAAAACAAAAGGAAAATGGCCATATTGGGTTAGGTTTGCTCTTATAAATTTGGATTCCTGGATGATCCTTGTAAAGATGAATAAATATTAATTTGTAGTTTTATTTTGCTTCCATTGTATGATGGCTTTGAGACATGTTGATTTAGTGCATATTTGCTTTAGATTGAGAATCCATGAAGAAACTCTTTTTCCTAGGCTAGTTATCCAAATTGCTGGTATCATTCATCCTATACACTTTGAACTAGTTATGATTAATAAGAACAAAACACTATTTGCAACAGGGCACGTCCTTTATAACTGAAACTGCAGTAGTATAATTTTCCATACATGACATGTTTTCATGCATATGCTTTATCCCTGTACAACACTAATAATTCTTTAACATACATTCCATAGGTTTCCTTAACTAACATTGTGGTTTCCCTTACAAATGAGTGAACAGTTCTAAAACAGTTTATAGTTACATTGTCACTTATTTCAATCCTGTGGAATACACTGAATATGCTTGAAAAACACTGTTTCTCTTGTAGATTACTAAATGCTACCATCTAATTCTATAAATTAAATTTACTAGGAAAACCCACAGTTTTAAAAAAGTATACAAGAATAAGCTAGCTTATCACAATTGACAAAGAAATGAACTCAAGAAGTACAAATATTTTAATGTCAGGAACAGTTTATCTTCGTGGTAAACATTCACTTTATGCAACTCCCACTTGGCTTCATTTAATTAAAAAGCTGAAAAAGAAAGAAAATTATTATGTACTGAACATAAGAAAAACATGATATGCTTTTTAATCCATTCTAAATTAGTACATGTAAAAGCAACAAATGTCATGATTTTATAAATCCATCTAATTGTAACTTTGCTAACAGGGCTATTTTTTTGAAACTAGTTTCTGTAATGGGGTCAGGATTATAGTGAGAATAGGGTCAGAGGTGAGAAAAGATGTGATGATTTGAATTGTGTTTATAAAAGCATCTCTCATCATTGGGCTGGCTAGAACAATAGTTAAACATTTAGAATGATAATGTAGGGGAATAAAGGAAATGGACTGAAATATTTGAATGTCCTAAAGAAAATATTGTTTTTCTTATTTATAATTCCTTACATAAACCATAGCTATTTACACATTTGATCTTTTGTTACTGTGGTTTGCAACTTCATTATATTGGACGGTCAAAAACAATGTACATGTAATTAAAATTGTCAATAGATTTTGATAAAACAATATTACAAACAGATGCTAGTACATATACAACTAAAAGGAAAATGGAAATATTCTTTTAATATCCCTAAGCAAAGTTTTATTTTGTAAACAAGAATTTAACTTTGTAAGATATCTTAAATAATTTATTAAGTTTAAATTTTATATTTGTACCTGTCTGCCAAGATGTGGTACATTTTTGAGTTTTCACAAATGAATAAGACACAAATAATTGTTAACTAATTATTGAAGCACAAAAGAAACTAGTGATTACTGCAGCTGAAAACCATACTGTGGAAAACTGTTCAAACTGTTTAAATTTATTATATCCTAGGCATATTGTATTGTCTTTCTGAACCTCGGTTTCCTCATTAGTGAAGGGTATGCTTGTTTTGAATGATTTCCAAAGTTCTTTCCAGTGCTAGTATTTTATGATTCTTGTATTGTGCTAAAACTAAACATATTTTAAAATATGCATTTTATTATAAGGCATAAAATATATTTATACATTATTTTTAAAGTACAAAAATAGTTACATCAATATTAGTAATTACATAATTATTTACATTGTAGTGTTATTTATAAAGTTATACAACACAAGAAGAATAATTAGTATACCTGTATTTAAGAAATTATCAAATCATRCTGATTATCAGGATACTTCTTTTATTTTTCAAGATAAGTTATAACTAAAGTGCTGAAAGGGTAACCATCTCCATGAAGAATGCCAGCAATAAACCTCATTAGAACACCAAGCTTTGGTAGCTGCTTAATTCATGCCACCTTTCACAATACTGATGGCAAAAAAGATAGGTATGTCACTTACAGATAAACTTGTTGGCATTTCCTTTCCTCAATTATAAGCTCACCCTGAAGATAAAGTTAATGGAAGGATGATGGCTAATGAAAAAAGAAACCATAAAGTATTTTAAACCATAGAGTTGGAAAAACTGGAACTAGAAATGGAGGACCTGTGGGGTTTTTGATTAGTTCTTAAAAAAAAAATCTGAAAGTTTCAAAATGTACACCAATAAAGTTAACCTTTGATTATTGTTAAAAATATACCTGCATAAAAGCAAAAATAATATGACCCTTTATAATTTTATAATGCCTGAATTTTTAGAGCTAAAAAGGTCAAAGTTATGTGATAGATGCAGATATATTTACAGAGTAAAAGGATCTTTATGACTACATTTTATATGGAAATAGACTAAAATCCTTATTATGCTATTTTCTCATTCTAGTTCTTCCAAACTGAAATGCTCAGTGATTACTTCTAAAACTTGCTGCAATAATTGCTGGTTTATATCTTATTATGAAATGACGAGTATGTTCAATCTCCAACTGTTCATTCTATTTATTGTCCTACAACAAAGGATAAATCTATTAAGTAGGTTTCTTTTCATAAAAATGAGGTATAAAAATCTTTCCAATATCTTGAATAAATACATGTAAAGACATGAGCACAAAAGTGTCAATTTTGTTAAAATGTTAACGAATAAGAGTTCATACTTTTTAAGGTAATTGATCATTCAGGATTTCATGTTTTTATTTTCAATATATAAATATTAAATGTCAAAGATAATGCTCAATATGAATGTTTTATACTGATATCATCACTCAAGGGATTAATCTCTAATTTCTATCTAGCTAAATTTTTTCTCTTTTCACATTTACTTGTCTAATAATTTTGATGTATAATCCWAAAGCATAACAGTTTTTATTGATTTATACTCCCAACAGTGCTTGGATATTTTTCTTAATGTTTATCACAAAAATGTATAAGTGCTTTTACACTGTACTTTAAAAAAAATGTCACAAATACTAAAAAGTATATAAGTCTGCATATCTATAATCATTAATGACTGTGGCCACCTTATACTGGAGTGAAAACATGCATGGGCAACTTTAACTGGGGTAGCAATATAAAATAAGAAGCATGGGTAGTAAACTGTACACACTGAGCTTTGATAGCAGGGCAGAACTAGCACAAATTCTCACATGCTCCCTTCCCTCAGCATGAAGGTTTTCAACTATCCCCTTTCCAGTCTGCATAACTTTCTTAAAGTATGTGAGGGCTGCAGACGAATACCTGTATACAAAAAGATAATGAGATGATGATCTTAAACAATTCTCTTTAAGAATGGCGCTCTCCTCATGACTCCCTCAAATATCCAGGATTTAGATAAAAATGCTGCCTTGACTTGCTGAGGAATGATGTTCTAATAATTCATTAGCAAGTTTGTTATTTGAAACTCAAAATAAGTTTTTCTAGGAAACTTGATGAAATTGACTTTACAATCTGGATAAAATTTAAATAATCAATAGTTCTTTGTTAAATGCTTATCATTAATGTTGAGTATTATACACAGAAGGTATGCAGAAAATGGAAGGACTGAAAGACATAGTTCTTATGTTTTTATCTAAAGGGGATAAACCTGCTCAAATTAGTTAATGTGTTGTTGAGTCATAGGGCTACAGAATTTAAAAACAAATGAAACAAAGCTGACATTGGAATAAGTAAAATGATGGGATAGTCTAGTCTAAAGAAGCTGAATACACAAAGGTATCACAGCACAAAAATTCATTAAGTGCTATGTTTTGTATGGCTAAACAAGGAGTTACAAGGAGTTGGTATACTTTCTGTAAAAGTCCAGAAAGAAAATATTTAAAATTTTCTGGACTATTGATCCTTTTAAAACTACTCAAATTAACTGGTGTAGAATAAAAGCAGCCATGAATACTACGTGAATCTGGATGTACTTCAAATAAAATTTATTAAGACACTGAAATTTAAATTTCATATAATTTTCACCTATCATAGAATATTTTGTCAATGATTTAAACTAAAATCCATTATTAGTAATGTGGGGCAAACCAAAGCAAGAATTAGTTGCTGATTCCTGAACTAAACCATAGGTTACACTGAAAGCTGTACTGTACTATAAGTGTAGACGAGCCCAAATTTAAAGTCATGTTTTATCATCCAATATTATTGTATAGCTAGTAAAATCATACTTTGGAAATGGTTAGTGTCACTGAAATATGCTCATGATACATGAAAGACATGTGATTTACAAGATGTGTGTAACAGAATCCTTCCCTAGATTTAAAGCATATGCAAGCTAAACTGTTATTTAATAATCTGGGTTCTGGGTGTGGGGATTATTGATTAATTTTATTTTCTTCCCATTTTGCTTATCTGTAATACATTGATCGCCCCCCCCCCAGCCACCATTCTTCCTCATCAGCTACCAATGGGTTTGAAGAAAGTTGCTACATGGTTGGTACATATCTTAAAATGATAACTCTGGAATTATACTAGGATAATACCAAGGATAATGACTAAATATCAAGATATATATTAGGAAGCTAGCTGTAAACTATAAATTAAGATGGCATAAGTGGGAATAGAAAAGTGACGAAAACCAAATCAAATGACATAATACAGGACAAGGGTATGGGATCAGTACAAAATGATTCCAAGGTCTGTATCCCATATGACCGAGAATGTCTTAGGAAAAATAAGAAGTGGCAATACAACAGTTTTGGAGGCAGACATGACATTGATTTTGGACACAAGGTGAGCTGTTAATGTAGTATTCACATCTAGATCTCAAGTGAAAGATCAAGATTTGACACACATTTGGGACTGAAAAGCAACCTAAAAGAAAAAAGGAAAGGATAAGAGTGTCACGTTAGAAAATCCAGGGTAAAAACTTTCAAAGGGGATGGGGAAGGCTGTTCACCTAAATTGTTAGAAAGGTCSCATGAAGAGAACTCTGGCTTTTCTTGGGTCACTGGGTGGTCATTGGAGGATATAATAAAAACATGTCCTCTTCCCTTCTGGTGAAATATATGAACTGGGAATGTGTGGTTTGCTTTTTTTTCTTTTTCCTTGAATTAATTACTCTGTTCCTGGTGTCTTGAAAAACCAACATGTACACAATGTTCCTGAAGGAATGCATTCTGTCCAATTGGGAAATAGCTGAATTTTCAGCTACCCAGAATTTTCTTGTACACTGCTCTTACCTTCTGTCTCAAACTGGGGGAAGGAATCAGGGAGATCTAGTGGTTACATAAAGGCACTCTGTCCAGAAATCACTTAGGTGGTGAAAGGAACAGCTGTTCAGATTTTGTGTTCAAAAAGGGGGGTGCAGAAAGAAAGGCCTCATTTCTTCACAGGTCACTGGTTGAATTTTCACTCCTGTTTCATTGGCCAATGATTAGTGCAACTCAACTTGTAATTTTTTTTTTAATCTTCATATTTATAAGTGTTAAATGGGAATGCTAGGGAGCAGTACATTAGAGCTGTTAGGTAGATCTCTTTAGTCAAAAGTCCTGGGGCTCTTTTCTCTATAATAGAAGATTCCTGAACCCAGAAAAGTCTTCAAGTCTGAAATAAACGGTCTTTTGAAAAGGCCTACAGAAATTCAGACCTTTATTAGCAAGAAAAGAGATTTTTGAAAACGGAAACCTTTCTACAAGTAATATGGGGTAATAGCCGTCAAGCCTATTGCTAAGGCCAGT